CTCTCTCTCTCTCTCTCTCTCTCTCTCTCTCTCTCTCTCTCTCTCTCTCTCTCTCTCTCTCTCTCTCTCTCTCTCTCTCTCTCTCTCTCTCTCTCTTCTGTTCTTTCACTCAGAAATGCTTCAGTTCTAGAGATGAATTCCGGGGGATAGCCTCCGAAATTCATGGTGCGCGTAAAAGTTGAGCAGGGCTCTAAAATCTTCGAATTTTCTTAGGGGAAAAATCATATGCATCGAAACAGCATATCGATTTCCGGGCCGGGGTGCTAAACATGTGCTATTTCACACTAAAATTGTCAAAACCTATGTGGCTTTTTCAGACTATAAAGATCCTCGTAATACCAACAATACCATATACTTTTGTAGCTTGATAAACCCACCCGCAACACCCTCACCCNCTCTCTCTCTCTCTCTCTCTCTCTCTCTCTCTCTCTCTCTCTCTCTCTTCTGTTCTTTCATTCAAAGATGCTTCAGCTCTAGAGATGAATCCCAGGGGATAGCCTCCGAAATTTATGCTAGGCGTAAAAGTTGAGAAGCGCTTTAAAATCTTCGATCTGGTTTCCTAAGGGGAAAAATCAGTTGCATCGAAACAGCATATCGATTTCCGGGTCGGGGTGCTAAATATGTCCTATTTCACACTAAAATTGTCAAAACCTATGTCGCTTTTTCAGACCATAAAGACCTTCATAATACCAAGAACACCAACAACACCATATACTTTTGTAGCTTAATAAACCCAGCCGCAACACCCTCCCCACCCCCGCCCCGGAATCGTGATTATACCCGTAGCTTTGTCACGGATAAAGAAAAGTTCAAATACCGTGGAATCTCGTTAATATGGTCACCAAAGGGCTATGAAAATTCGACTGTCTTTACGGGGCGGCCGTTTTAACGGGGTAGGGACAAATTCCATGACTGGTCTATTTTAAGTGACGTCTTCACATCATAATCGAACTTCTAAACAATTGTTCTTTAATAACCATTCAAAATGCAGGTTTATATTTGAAAAACGTTGAAACTTTAATCAATGCATACAAGACTAACAATGGAAAGATGAACATAATTGTCTGGTTCGAGTGGCCATATTAAGTTTTTTTTTTTAATGTAACGGGGTAAAGTTATAGAGGATTACATATGCTGAGATTCCACAATGTGGCCGGTGGCCATATTAAAGGGGTGGCCACATTGACAGGGTTTGCGTATAAGGAAATGAAAGCACATTTGCTGGGACAAAAAAAACTGGCCATAATAACGAGGTGACCGTAAGGCAAGGTTCCACTGTATTGGGCTTATTTAGCCAAATATTCGTCTAGCCTTTGTCAACCTCTCTCTAAAAATCACTCCAGTACAGTCCAAGAATGGAAGATATGTTAACTATTTGCTAAGTATATTTCTCCTCTTCTCGGGAAGAAATGAAAAATGATTTTAATCCTAGTTAATTACCTTCGCATCACTAGGTGGTTTGGTGCGTTCCCTCTCGGCTAGTGACGACTTAGATTTCTTCAAAGGAGGTTTTGTCTGTAAGTTCAAAGGAAAACAAATGAAGAAAATGAAGCTTGACACTTAATAAAGTTCTAGTTTGAAGGAGCTGCATGTCATGGTACTTCTCTCTATAATTCTCCCTGTTTCATAAAGAGGTTTATAATGCCTCTCAAATACTACGTGCGCCGTGATTGGTCAATTTAGGAGGCCATATTCTACTATACGACGTACTAAAAATTTAAAGCTGTTTTTTTGCCAAAATGTTTCGTGATTTATCGCTAAGTGTTCTAAACTTTTATAGCAAGTAAAAGTTTTAAACTTGCGTTTCAAATGTGTCATCGACTTATGATTTGCAACGATTTGCTTTCGACGTGAGTCATTTAATGCCTTTTCGCGTGTGCGTGAATAGTAATCGTTTCCCGAACCCGTCAGACACAGTAGAGATATAATAAATATCTTACTAACTCTTCTCCTCGGTCGGTACTGAAAGTTACAGATACTCAAGTAGAAGAAACTCGGTCCGTTATTTTCCGAAAACTGAAAGAGGACACGATCCGGGTAACGAGTAAGATATTTAAGAGAGTGGTAAAGACCTGGNCAGATACAGTGGAACCCCATTAATACGGTCACCAACGGGCCATGAAATTTGACTGTCTTTACGGAGCGGCCGTTTTAACGGGGTAGGGACAAATTTCATGACTGTTCTATTTTAAGTGACGTCTTCACATCACAGTCGAACTTCCAAACAAATGTTCTTTATAACAATCAAACTGCAGGTTTATATTGGAAAAAATTTGAAACTTTAATCAATTCATACAAGACTAACAATGGAAAGAGGAACATAACCGGTTTAAGTGGCCGTATTAACGGGGTAAAGTTATACTGAGATTACACAGGTTGAGGTTCCAAAATGTGACCGGTGGCCATATTAACGGGGTGGTCACATTGACAGGGTTTTCGTAAAGGGAAATGTAAGGGCATTTGCTTGGACAAAAAAAACTGACCATAATAACGAGGTGACCGTAAGGCAGGGTTCTACTGTATTGGGCTTATTTAGCTATGTATACGTCTAGCCTTTGTCAACCTCTCTCTAAAAGTCACACCAGTACACAGTCCAAGAATGGAAGGTATGTTAGCTACTTGCTACTACTTTCTTCTCCTCTTCTCGGGAAGAAATGAAAAATGATTTTAATTCTAGTTAATTACCTTCGCATCACTAGGTGGTTTGCTGCGTTCCCTCTCGGGTGGTGACGACTGAGATTTCTTCAAAGGAGGTTCTGTCTGTAATTTAAAAAGAAAACAAATGACGAAAATGAAGCTTGACACTGAAAAGTTCTAGTGTGAAGGAGCTGCATGTCATGGTACTTCTCTCTATAATTCTACCTGATTCATAAAGAGTTTTATAATGCCTCTCAAATACAACGTGCGCCGTGATTAGTCAGTTTAGGAGGCCGTATTCTACTGAACGGTGTGCTAAAAATTTAAAGCTGTTTTTGTTGCCAAAATGTTTCGTGATTTATCGCTGTGTTCTAAACTTTTATAGCAAGTAAAAGTTTAAAACTTGCGTTTCAAATGTGTCATCGACTTATGATTTGCAACGATTTGCTTTCGACGTGAGTCATTTAATGCCTTTTCGCGTGCGTGAATAGTAATCGTTTCCCGAACCCGTCAGACACAGTAAAGATATAATAAATATATTACTAACTGTTCTCCTCGGTCGGTACTGAAAGTTACGGATACTCAAGGAGAAAAAAACTCGGTCCTACATTTTCCGAAAACTGAAAGAAGACACGATCCGGGTAACGAGTAAGATATTTAAGAGAGTGGTAAAGACCTGGTAATGAGCTTAGTAAACAGATGCTTGAAGTCCAATATGCTTTAAATCCTTCCATGGAATCGGAATTCAGGTTTTTGTCCACAAACACGGTCAAATATATACCTCNCCCCCCCCCTCCCACCCCGACTCTTTATATCTTATTAGGAGGCTTAGGAAAATGGATGCAACTATAAGTAAGAACCTTTAACACCACTCAGCTCTTGGTTTCAGTCTCACCTTTCGGGGTGTGTTCCCTTTGGCTAGAGCGTATTCCGAATGTGCTCTCGTAATCTGCATGAATAAACATAGGATAAAATAGTTCAGTATTTAATAACTACTTATTAACCGAGAGTGAGGTCTTTAGGGGAAAATCTCAAACCGAGACCTTATCGTGTTGAGCGAGCGATAGCGAGGTCAATACGGCAATGCCAAAGTTTGAAATTTTCCTGTAAAGACCGAATGTTCGTGATTAGTAAGTTGTTTATTATATAAAATGTTTAAGCAAGCAACAAAGCAATAGCTTTTTACTTTTTTGGGGGGGGGGGGGGGGGGGGGAAGAATGCCTTAGAATTAGCCAATCACAGCACGCGTTATATCGCCTACAAACACGAGTAATATAAGAAATATTCGTATTGACCGCTTCCCGACAGCTTCAACTCTTTAATAGGCTGGAGACCAGGTAGTATTGTGCGGTTCTCTGACAGTTACAATGTCCTTCTTTCTCTTCATGGCGTCCGTACCTCACGCTCGGCAGGCCTCAGATCAGTTAACCAGGAATGGAGTCCATTTCAAGTACGAAACCAGTCGAGAAGGGCTTTAAATTCCCTGCTTTTCATTGGGCGAAAAATCAGTCTAGGCCAGCGTGCAAAAACATCTCCTATTTCAGACCAAAATGGTCAAAATCTATATCCTAACAGGAAATGAAAATGGAAAATGATTGCCACTATAAATAAAGAACCCTTCAGTAAGAAGATCAGGAACCAGAAATTAGGAGCCGTCTGCTAGTCTAAGATTACGTCTTACGCCCGTTGAATAGCATCATTTACTTTTATTTTTACATCTTTTCGCATCTACATACCGGTGAGAAAAGCCCTATCCATAACTTCTCCAACTGCTCGACTTGCTTTTCTCTGCCTTTTTGGTATGATAATAGGCTTTTTAGTGTTTCTTTCTCCTTCTCTCTCATGGTTGGTTCTGCTGATTGTAGGTCCGCAGCTCGTGCACTCAGATTATTATGTACGGCTCTTAAACTGTGGTACGTGAAGTCGTAGAAGTTTCTTCTCACCAATTCATCGCACCTGCAAGCTTCGCCCGTCATGCCAGTGACTTTAGTGTAGAGTTCTTGAAGGGTTCTACTATGTCTGTTGATTAACTCTAACTTGTTAGTGATGGGGAAAGATTCTTCCTTCAGCTCGCCTTTCTCGAGACTTGACGTTATGTCTGAGAGCTTTTCTTGTAAACTTTTGAGCTCCTCAGAAATGTCAAGATCTTTGACTTCTGATGATTTCATGATTTTCGTTTCTTCAGGTGTGTTTACTGTAATCTGGATGGTGGCATTAGCAGAGTTATCCAGTTCCTTACAAGGAAATTAAAAATTAACAAACAAGTAAGACGCGCCGAGGTTTTATCTTTGTAATTCGTTTGCATGTAGTTACTCCGTGCCAGCATTTTTATATCTATATAGCGAGATAACTAGTTGGAATTTTGAGGTACCTTGACCTCTTTTAAAATATCTTACCCCAAAAAAAAAGCAGCGCGCATTTTTGTGCCTACAATCTAACTGCCAGTTACTTTCAAAAAGCCTCAGTAAAACCCCAGCCTCTACTGCTGCACACAATTTTTCTCCAATTGTTAGAAATGCTCTCTAAACTGACAGTTTTGCTGACAGAAATTTAAGGCATTTTGGGGTTTTCAATAGACCAATTTCGATACATTAAAATTCCGTCTAAGACAATAGACCTCAGCACGAGGCTCTGGGGAATAAACCCCACAAAYTCTGTAGTYATTCCCCAGAGCCTCGTACTGAGGTCTATTGTTTCAGGCTGAATTTTAATATATCGAAATTGGTCTATTCAGTTTCCAGTCTCCCGGCCCACCATGTTGGATGTGATGACGTCAGATGGGTGTCCCAGCTGCCCAGTCTTTTCACGAACCACGGAAATGGTTTTCCTTTGATTTCAATAAAACTTCTGTTGTTGTAACAAGGGACGGTAGATTAGCAGTCAGTTAGGTACGGAACTGAAGTCTTCACGTAACGGACAAAAATTGAATTATAAACCCCTCGACCTATCTGTTTGGTTTTTTGTTTTCGTACACACAGTTGAATCCTGCTCTCTCAAACTTTCAAAGGAAACGAAAAAATGTTTGAATGGCGAAGGTTTGAGACAGGCAATAATAAATGATTGAAAAATATGCCCAAAATTAAGGTAAAATGACTTGAGCTCGAGACAGTGAAAAGTTCGAGATAGCGAGGTATACAATTTCAAGTTGTTGTTTTTTCTTTTTCGATTCAAACGAAAGTAGTCACGTTTGACTATATAATAACAGGGGAATTTCGTCAGTTGCCCATTCGCCTAGTTTGCAGTCAATTCCATATGCATTTTAGTAATACCTCAAAAAGAGTCTCAAATTCGTTTTCTTCACTCTCCCATACAAGGAACTTCTTTCTTCCAGTGCTGTCTCTGGCCAGCATGATCTGAGTCTAAGTCAAAAACAATGCACAGTAAATGAGCCATGTCACAACACTCAGGACAAGACCGAACACAAGTATTTTCCCCCACCCCCTCCCTCCTCTACTTCCCCCTATCCGAGAGTTTGCAATCTCTTGACAAACATATCATCAATACCCGCAGGAACTTTTTAACCAGCTTGTAGATTACTTCAGTAATTATTGCCGGGATTTCTAAAGGCTTGGTTTCTTTTTGGGTTTTCTCATCACCACTACCACGATGTTTTCCAATAATGTATTTCATATTGTTATGTCAGAGCTGTTTTCACTTGAGTGTCGAAAGCGATTTGCATTTTTCCTTTGGTTTTGCATTACCACGTCAAACGAAAATTAAAAATAAAACTGGCACTATTTTCTGATCCAATCACAAATAAAACCAAAACTAATTGTAACTCACTCACACGTTTTTGCGCGCTTCGCGCTAGTACATGCGTTTACTTTGGGCTGTGAATGATTGGTTCACTTGATTCACTGTCTGTGTTTTTTGACACTGGCCAAAGTGAATGATTTCCCTAGTTGTACTTGGTTTCAATAATTTAGCATTCAACCTCTTGGCAACATTTTAGTTTTACACTGTGGTGACCGATCTGTGAGTGAAGTCAACTTACCTGGTGTGCGTCATCTAGCTTAATCGTCTTTTCAACCTCGATAGGGATTGTAAACCTCCTGTTTAACG